ATCCCCACTGTACAAATTGTTCCAGCACCCCTGTTTGTGCAATTTAAAATGTGATGGGAAACATTCAGAGCATTTTTACACTTACTTTCGAGTCAGTCATAAACTTGGCTCTGGGAAACAATGAAGCAAAAGAGGTAAAGATTCTCTCAGAACCAATGGGATGAAATTTTTCTCTCTCCCCTTATCATTACCCACAGATAGCCCAAATCCTGGTCAACGTCTCCCTTGATGGCAGATGTGTGGGGTAACTTGCTGGCCAAAGTGGAGCCTTCATACATGGTGTGCAATGATACCCCCACCCAGTGCAGCTAGTCCAACTGCGCAGTACAACTGCTAGGCTGCCATGCTGTGGAAGGCCTTAAGCATGCGCTCTCAGGGGGTGAATTTCACCGTATGAAAATAAGGATAATCCCTCCTGAATAGTGTTAAACTTAACAGACACTCTCCACTATATACAGGACTCAATAAACATTGCATAAATGAGTGGAAAATATTTAAAATTATTGGGCTCAATTCACTCCTGCTGTAACTTCACTGACTGCAATGGAGTTCCACCAGGAATGCATTTGACCCATTATGCTTAAAGGGAAGCAGTTGCAAATTTAGTCATCTTCTGCAACAGTTTGGGAAAGGAGTGCAATTATTCTTGGCTTTATTATTTTTATATGGCACATTGTGACAAGCTGACAACAAAGTAGCTTTAGGGTGCTTAACAGATACAATTCATTTTTGTTTTGGATTCATTCCAGAAGACAACACAGGAAATGATTCTCATTGACCTATTTTGATTGGAAAGTTTAGTATAACTCATTTGAAAACTTTAATGGACTGACTGTGAAGAGTTCTCTGCACAAATTGTTTCAACTGTTATACTCCAGGCATTTTCTGGAGAATATTTTTCTTTTGGGGAAAAAAGCCATTAAAAAGGTAGGTAGGTATTGTTATACCCTTTTTGACCTGAGTACTTAAACAAAATTTGGGGTCTAGCAGGTTGCTTTGGTTAGGAGGAAAAACTGATGATGCTGGAATCAGATATTTCTTGGATGCAAACCTGTTTATTTAAAAGAACATACAAAGGCCTGACTCCCTAAACACAGCAGAAGCCAGTTCCTTTGCTCACTGTTCCAAGTCCCTTTTCAGCCAGCACTTAGCCCAAATGCTCTCAAACTCTCCTGGCTTTTCTTTTCTTTTTTTTTGTTTTTGTTTAAAGGGTCATGTTCACTGTGCTATTTTCTTGCTGTAGCTTTGGTTTTCTACTACTTCTCTCAGCTTCTCTGGGTTTTTCCTGCTTCTCTCTCACACACAGGCCACTGCTCCAATCCAATCAATCCCCTTCCCCAGGATTTATCAGATCAGAGAAGAACTTGCTTGGGGCACATGGTTCAGCTTCTACTCCAGCCTGGCATGTGGTGGTGTTTTGTCCAGAAGCCCCTGTTGTTTCAGCTATCTGGTTCTATAAAAGAGCTTTGTAGTGTTTACATCCACTCTGAATGGGGGAGAGCTCTTAAACCCACCAGCTTCACGGAGTTTTAACATATTCATGCTACAAAAAGCACTCTACCATTACCTAGAACTTCTAGAACACATTTTAATAACCTATTATCTGTTCAAATAGTGATTATGATCTCCCTAGTCCTGTGACCATTATATTTTTAATTTTATTAACCTGGATTACAGTTTGACACAATATCAAGTTCTGCTCAAATTGTCTCATCCTTTTTCACATCTATCCATTGACTCCTTCCCTTGCCTTTCACATCAAATTTTAATTCCTTGCATAGTTTTCAAAGCCAAAGGCAACCTTAAACCCTCACCTTTATCTCCTTTCACTCCACCCACGCTTTATCCTTTACAGCTTCCTTCTACTCTTGTTTTCAATTCAACCTTAATTTGGGCATTTCCTAATTTTTGCGTGTATGACTTTGCAACTTCAATTTTTGTAAGGTTATTTTGTGTATTCTAGGTGGAGCTGGGAACAAGACCTATTTTTAAGGTTGCTCGATGCTTCCCATTATAAGATCCTATCTTCAGCTATTTGTAACTTTGCCAAAATTTAAACATTTGGGCTGAACTTTTCCACATTGTTTGTCTGCTTTAGGCTGAAATTTTCTGGAAAGATTTATCAAAAACAGTTGAGCTTTTTCCTAGGATAGGGAAAAAGGTTAGGGAACAATACATTGTTTTTCCACATTAAAAATATTCTTACAGGTGTTATACTGAGAAGTTGCAATTCCCCGATGCTTTGGAGCAGAGACTCAATTTGTCAGGTGGTGGCCTTTTGCCAACCCTGTGACATTCTGCCCAAATTTGGCCACCTTTGAGAAAAACTCAGTTTGTAGGTGCCCATGGAGTTGGCAGAAGGGATGGCATGGGGAGGAGTGGCCACAGCATTACTGCCTACTACCGTAGGAGCCTGTCAGGGGGAGTTCTTGCCCTTTTCTCTGCCCTGGCCCTCCTTGCTGACCAAGCAGGCACCAGTGGTAGAGGTGTTTGTGGCAGTGGAATCTCTGCCCGCTCTTTCTACCATCATCTCAGCGGGGGGGGAGGGTGATGGTGTTGATAGAAATATTGGTGGTAGCCATGGGGGTAGATGCGAGAGAAAGCTGCGGGGGGAGGGGGGAGGTGCGGCAGAGGAGGCATCAATGGTGGCTGGAGGTCCCTCTGCCTGTTTTCCTCCTCCCTCCCGTGGACAAAGTCTCAAGAGCAGAAGCCTCACCTGTGGCTGTGTGGGGATCCGGCCTGAAGGGCAAGTGACAGGAACAACCAGCGGGGCATGGGGGGAGGGGGAATGATAAAAACATAGGGCCAGGGGAGGAATGGAGGGTAACTGCTCACATGAGGCTGAGTGGGGGACTGCAAATATGAACTGGGGCATTAATCACATAAATGAAGGGGCGAAGGGGGATTGCAGTAATGGGGGGAATTGGTTCCTCTGGCTGGACTGGGAGTGAGAGGGCATGTAAGGGGGGAGTGCAGTGAGTGGGGGAATTAAACAAAAACAGAGGGAAATGGGGTGGAAATCACACATGTGGAGGTATATGTGGGGGCACAAGGCAAGCGGGTCTGAGGGAGGCAGGCAACAATCAGAGACAGAGAGGGGGCATACGAGAGAGGGAGAGGAAGGGAGCACATCAGAAGGAGATAACAGATGATGGGCGGTGGGGGAGGAGGTGCCAGCAAACCACGAGGGGGGGCATGAGGAAGCAGGCTACCAAGGGAAGGGAACATGCAAGTGGGGGTGGGAAATGAATGAATCATGAGGGGAAACTGGGGACAGGGCAGCAAACTGCAAGAGAGGAGGGCAGGCAGAGGAAAGGAAAAGAGGCCCAGCAGCCCGAAGCAAGCTGAGGTGGAAAGGGGAAAGAAGGTCCAAGGGGGAGCATGTACATCCACATGTGCTTTCAAAGAAGGAATACAACAATAATGCTGCTGCAGCCCCAGGGCAGGCAGGCAGACACTAGGAGAGGTGGGGGAACGGATGGGGTGGAGGGAAGATGTCCTGCCACTCCCCCCCACAAATTCCCCAGCCATAGCAACCAAGCAGGAGGACAGCAGCAGCAACAGGGTCAAATTGAGGTTGCACAGGTGTGACTTTGCAACTTTAATGTTCTTGACATGGTTTGTGTGTGTTGTATATAATTAGCTGATGCACAGATTAATTTACTATAAAAATAAAGCCCATTAGCTTGGTTGATGGTGCTGCTTCCTCCCTCCCCCTCCCATTGTCTTTTATATCTTTGGCTGGTAGCCACCAAGTTAACAGCAGCAAATTAAATTAAGCCAAAAGACATTAAATATTTGTATGCAATAGACCACAGTAAAAATATTCAAGTGCCTTATTTTAACCACAGGGATGAAATTTTACAATGATCCTTTCTGAACCAGTTCTATTTATTCCAAGAACTCCTTGTTCAAGATCTTGCTTTATGGCTGATTCATTGACACAAGAGACCACAATTTCAAAATGAACTGAACTGCAATTGTTTTTTGATGAGGGTAAAAAATGGTTTAATCTAAGTGAAAGTTTCACGTTAGAAGTTGCGAATGGAATTTTGGATGACAGGATGATGAATACTGTATGGGCTCAGCTTCGGGTGTAAATCCTATTTCTTTTGTGGTATGGAAAAGAGAGAGGAGTCAAGAGTTATTCAGTCTGTGTGAAATTTTAAAGTTCCAAAATTCTATTTAGACTATAAAATTCATTCTTCTGCTGAATTCCTACACAGATGCTCAAACTCTTTTCTTTCCAAAGCAAGGTTAACAATAAAAGTAACAATTAGCTTATATACATTTTCTGACAAAAAAGTGTCTGACTACTACTGTGCTTCCATATCTACTGACACTCTTGTGTTGTAAATTAAGGGTTTAACATGAAGTACAAAGTTGAGGCAGAAACTCTCGCCACATCACATGAATTAATGTGTATTAAAATAGAATTCTGCCAAGTCTAAAGTTAATACATGGAGTAAAATATTTACTGATTTGGGACAGAGTTTATTAAGTCTCACTATTCATTGACAAAGTTTTTATTCTAGTCAATTTAATCTCTATCTTGATTCTTGTATGGGTCGGTCCCTACCTGAGCACCTTCTGAGTACGTAATGATTTAGTCAGACAACACCTGTGAGACAGGGAAGTATTCTGATTTTACACATATGGAAACAGGGGCCCAGGAGGGCAGACCCTCAGCTGGTATAAACTGTCACAACTTCATTGTGCTATGACAACTTACACTAGTTGAGGATCTGTTCCAGAGGGACGGACTTTGAGTTGCCCATCATCACCCAGGAAGTCTTGTGGCAAAGCAGGGAGTAGAATCCAGCTGACCCAAGTCCTAGGCCAGTATTCTAGCCAGCACGTCATTCCTCCTACTTCCTAGCATTATTGTGTGGGAACGAGGAAGAGGGGGAAAAGGGTTATGGGGGAACTGTACTAATTTTTGTTATAAACTACATAACATGTTGTAAAAACTAGCAAAGGAATTCTCACAAATCAATTCATATTAGTGTACAGTATTTATTACCTTCCCATAATTTCTGGTCAATTATTTTGATATGACAATTTTGAAATAAACTTACATTTAAAATCTATATGAAGACTATGGTCTTGATATTACAATATTAATTTGCTGATTTGCCCTCTTAATCCACATACAAGGTTCATCATTAGAAGAGACTGTACATTTTCCTTCACTTTACATGTGTTCATAATAAAACACAAGCTCCAAAGGTGGAAGGGTGTAAGATGAAAAAGTATCATATTTTAAGTGGTTCTTTGACCAAAAATGCACCAACTATATATTAAGCCAATGTGTTTCCTTGTAATTTTGATTTACTTATAGTATACCCTTTTGCAAAATATACAGCTGAACAACCGGCACAATAATAGTGTCCTTTTAATACAGGAAAATAACAAAAGAAACAGAAAAGACTAGAGGTTATAAACGTTATATTTGAGAATACCAGACTGATTCAAAGTGTTTCCAACACAAATAAGAAAGGCCATGCACAATATTTTTGTTAACAGAATGTCCTCAGTAGTCCACAAGAGATTGGTCTGCATGCAGCATATTAACAGAAGAAGGTTCAAATCACAAGAAAAGGAACTTTCTCCAATTATCTTTTAGGTCTGTCTAGGTCATCAATTGCTGCTAGCAGTTTCTGTCTTGCTTTTTTGTTGATGTGTGATCCCAGACAAACATTCACCAGATTGGTCAACTGCTTGGTGGAATATTCCTGGCCAAATAAAGCAGATCATTTTATATCAAATAACCAGACAAAAATATGCAGTTAAATAAAAAAACTGATCAATTTTTCAGTGTATAGAAGCTTTTGGTACACAAAAAAATATATTTAAAGCTGCTAGCTTAGCCAGGTCTGGATAATATTCATGTGGTTGTAAACAAAATAATTAGTGTTTTGCTACATGGCAGATTATAATGGAAAATGCTTACAGTTTAAAAGAGTGTTGGACAGAAAGTAATTCTGTGACTACTTAAACATCTTAAGCCACTTAAAATGTATTTTCCATTCCTTAGAAAAAAAATATGCTAACTGGATAAACCTTTAATACAATTGCAACAATTTGCTAAAGAAACAGTGACTAACAAATTAATGACCTGTTTTTTTGAATTCTCACTTCCACTTGGCTTTTACTTAATATTTTTACCAACAGGATTTTCAACATTAGTTTTACTGTATGATAAAGAACAAATTTTAAAAATATTATAAAAATTTTAATAGAATTTTTAACACCTGTAAAAACATCAGATTTGCCAGAATTCCCCTTTATTTTGCTGAAAAGGAGACTCCAAAATGTAACCTCCACCAGCAAATACAAATGAGAATTATTCAATGTAGGTCAACAAATGACTGCTTACTATTTCTCATAGTTCAAGATATAATGAGGCAAATGCATTGCTTTCACCCAAGTAAAGCAAACTTCTAGCTGGATTTAAAGTAATCCTGAAACATAGATTCAATGTATCATTTCAAAAGACTTTTCATCCTAACAGTGCGTGGCCCCAAACAGTACAATTATTGATTGTTTAGACTGCAGTAGCACTAGACACTATGCAAACACAGATGGAGAAATAGCTAAGATAGTAAGTTGGATTCTGGCTCCGCATTTTGGATGAAGGAAAAAAAATTATGCTTCTTTTACTTTTTTTTGCTTTATTACTTTGTTTTAAAAATCCATTTGCAGAGACAGAGAAACTTAAAATTTATAGCTTAATTATAAACATTCATTTTGGATGATTAATCAGTGCATTTTATGTTCCATGCAACTTTTCAGATATTTTTAACTTTATTAAGGGATGGAGGCTAATAGTGAGAAAGCTTTCCACAAAACTGGCCAATTTCCTTCCATTTGTTTCCCAGAGTTCCAATAGCAGCATATAATGGACTTCTTTGCATGTCATTATCCATTATGCTCTCCAGCTCACAGCTATTTAAATTCTGGTGTGTGAACCCTGGGAACTAACTCAAAGTCCCAATTTGTCAAATTCTCGTTAGACAGGATTGTGGAAGATTTTTCCAATTTTGTAGTCAACATATGGCAATTTTCTTGTACTTGGATCATAATACTGTACCAGCTTCACCTTCTCAGAATACATTGCTGTCTGTACTAACGAGGCTGAACTGGGCAGGCATTGTTTGACTGAAACACCCCCAACAATCATGCTGATGATTATGCTGGGAAAAGATTCTGCTCACTCACTGATGAGCCAACCTCGACTCGTTAACCCACTTGGACATAAGAGTGGCTCTTTGAAGGCATGGCGGTTGTAGAGTATTTTGGAAAGCGCTCCAACAGGCTTAAAGGAGTGTACGGTTATATAACTGGCAAGAGAAAAAACTATGTACACTCAAAAGTCACTACTTACAGTATCAGAGGGAGTCTGAAGAAATGTTGGACTCTCATAGTGCGTCAAGAATTAGCGACTGAAAAGTCCTAGTAGATCATCCAGTCCACCCTCCCCTGCCAGTGGTGGCTTGTCCTCTAGCATACTTCTATTAGTGTATTGTCCGGTCTGGTTATAAATGCTCCAAATGAAGGAGGAGTTCTCAGCCCTTCCCATGGAAGTATTATACAACGTTTAGATTTTTCAGGGAGATTATCCTGATATTCAGCCTAAGTTTTCCATTTCTTATTTGTATCCTTACTTCTACATATACACCCTTATACCTCGCTAAGCATTTCCTCTACTTCCTTCTTGTTCTGACCCTTGAAGTATTTTAGACTTATGCTGTCACTATTCAGCCCACCAACCATATTTCATTATTGCAATGCTTTCTAAAAAGCCCCTCCAGCCCTCTTGATCGATCAACTGTCTTTGTTACAACTGGTCATGGACTACTGCTGTCAAAGTAGCAGACTCAAAGGAAAAGGAAAGAGTTGTCCCTGACTGGCTGTTCCATCCCTGTCAAGTGAACACAGAGTGCTGTGACCACTCATCTGCCCTACAGTCTTCTTGTGTGGGAGTACCAAAGGGTTTTATTTTGTTGTCTGTTGTAGCTAGTTAGGGGTGCTTCAAACTACAACTGTCAAGATGATCCCATGTCCTTTCAGTTGGTGAAGGCCGCCACTAGGTCCAGTGTGGTGGAGACTGTCAATGTCTCCTGAAGGTCGACAGGGGACTATTATTCTTAAAAAGGCTGCTGTGAGACCTTTGTTCAGGAATCCAACTCTTAATGTTGACAGGTTTGCTAACTACTGACCAACCTATTTCTAACTGCTACTTTTTGTAAAGGTTATCAAGCAGATGGTGGTGAGACAACTCAGGCAGTTTGTGGCATCCTCAGATGGTCTAGATACTGGTTCATTAGGTTTTAGATCTTGTGTGGGGTAGGAACCACACTGGTAGTATTATCTGGCCTTCTCTAACAATGGATACAGAGAAAATGTTTATACATACACTCTTGAACTTAACTGCCACTTGGGACACCATTGATTAGCAGGAGTTTTTTATGCATCTGTGGACTGTGTTGCTTGAGTGGCTCTTACCTTTCTACTCCCCACTTGTTGATCTGCTACAATCTAGACCTCAATCTTTTGGCTAACACCTGCAGGATCCATATGTTTGCCACAGCATTTGGAGAGCAGAGGATTGAGGGCAAGAAGGGATTTCATTATTATTATTCTTTCTGTGGAGGGCTTTAATTCTTACACCTGATCAGTAAGTGTGTGTATTTACTGTTAGGGTGGCATAAGCAATTTATTACTGTAATTTTCACAATAAAATATCTTAGGTAAGAGCAATGAGAGGGTGGCATAGACACTTGTTTATGTATGCTAAACCTAATAATAAAGTAAGTAACATGTATGCAATGCTGCTGGGGTGTGTCTAATTTGCATGTGACATTCTGTTCTACTTCTTTATGTTATTGGACTCAGGGCAGCTGGTCGGCTTACCAAATCTTGCCAGCGTCAGGTCTTGAATAAGGGTGACCTGTTGGTTGTTAGTTTTGCTTATATTAGGCTTACACAGTAGGCCCCAATCAGGGTCCCATTGTGCACAAACATGTATTAACTAGACAGTCCATGATCTAAAGAGCTTAAAATTAGGGCTATCGATTAATCGCCGTTCGCTCATGCGATTAAATGCAATTAATGTTTTTGAGTTAAAAAAAAGAATCGCGATTAATCGCACTTTTAATTGCACTGTTAAACAATAGACCAATTGAAATGTATTAAATATTTTGGATGTTTCCTACATTTTCATATATTGTATCCTGTGTTGTAATTCAAATCAGAGTGTATATTTATGATTACAAATATGTGCACTGTAAAAATAAAACAGTATTTTTCAATTCACCTCATATGAGTACTGTAGTGCAATCTTTGTCCTGAAAATGCAACTTAAAAATGCAGATTTTGTTGTTATATAACTGCACTCAAAAACAAAATAATGTAAAACTCCAGAGCCTACAAATCAAGTCCACTCAGTCCTACTTCTTGTTCAGCCAATCGCCAAGACAAACAAGTTTATTTACATTTACAGGAGATAATGCTGCCCTCTTATTTACAATGCCACCAGAAAATAAAAACAGGCATTTGCATGGCTCTTCTGTTGCTGGCATTGAAAGGTATTTATGTGCCGCATATGCTAAATATTCGTATGCTCCTTCAAGGTTCGACCACCGTTCCAGAGAACATGCTTCCATGCTGATGACACTCAAAAAAATAATGCATTAATTAAATTTGTGACTGAACTCCTTGGGGGAGAATTGTATGTCCCTTCCCTGTTTTACCCACATTCTGCCATATATCTGATATTATAGCAGACTCGGATGATGACCCACCATATGTTCATTTTAAGAACACTTTCACTGAAGATTTGACAAAATGCAAAGAAGGTACCAATGTGAGATTTCTAAAGATAGCTATAGCACTCGACCCAAAGTTTAAGAATCTGAAGAGCCTTCCAAAATCTGAGAGGGATGAGGTGTGGAGCATGCTTTCAGAAATCTTAAAAGAGCAACACTCCAATGCAGAAAATACAGAACCCGAACTACCAAAAAAGAAAATCAACCTTCTGCTGGTGGCATCTGACTCAGATAATGAAAATGAACATGCATCGGTCCGCACTGCTATGGATTGACATGGAACAGAATCTGTCATCAGCATGGACACATGTACCCTTGAATGGTGGTTGAAGCATGAAGGGACATATGAATCTCTAGTGCATCTGGCATGTAAATATCTTGCAATGCTGCCGGCTACAACAGTGCCATGAGAATGCCTGTTCTCACTTTCAGGTGACATTGTACACAAAAAGTGGGCAGCATTATCTCCTGAAAATGTAAACAAACTTGTTTGTCTGAGTGACTGGCTGAACAAGAAGTAGGACTGAGTGGACTTGCAGGCTAAAAATTTGACTGTTTTATTTTTGAATGCAGTGGTTTTCTGACATAATTCTAACTTTGGTAGTTCAACTTTCATGATAAAGAGATTGTACTACAGTACTTGTATTAGGTGAATTGAAAAATACTATTTATTTTGATTTTTTACAGTGCAAACATTTGTAATAAAAAATAAATACAAAGTGAGCTCTGTACACTTTGTAGTTTGTGTTGTAAATTAAATTAATATATTTGAAAATGTAGAATGCATCCAAAATATTTAAATGAATGGTATTCTATTATTATTTAACAATGCGATTAATCACGATTATTTTTTTAATCGCTTTACAATCCTACTTAAAATATAGGCTAATGGGAAGATGCAAGAGGGAGATGAAACTATCAAATGGGAAGGGGAAGGAAGGACAGAGGATGAATTAACAATGAGTGAGCACATATTCGTATAGACTAGCTGTGTGCACAATAAAGCTCACCACCTGCCAGGCTGTTACCAGTGCAATGGCAGGATTCTGTAGACATCCCAGCACAAATTAGTTATAAGGAAGGATTTGGAAGATGATAAAGTAGACTAATGGGTTTTTTTCCCTCCCACAGGTAATCTAGTGCCATGCATAAAAGATTAACAGTAACTCTTTGTGACATTGTGCAGTCTATGGTTCTATAAAAATATGATAAGTGAATATAATGTAACTGGGATATGCTTCATGCAAAAGGTCTCTTGTAAGGTATCATTACAAAGCTTATAATCTACTGAGTGTGCTCATCCTATTTGTATAAATGTATCAGTCTTGTATCTGAAACTAGAAATATGAAATATAACTCTGAGGGCCTATTGTAATTATGCAAAGTGTGGGCCATTAATGGTGGTTTGGAATCTTGATGACTCCCATTAACCAGGACCATTGTCTACAGATGGCTGCGAGTCTTCCTGTATATGTGTGTGCTGGCAAGTGGGTAATGAAGTCTTGCAGTGACATGTGATCATGTCACCTGAACTGGAATCCATCTTTCATCTGATGCGTTTTCCGGGGGGGGGGGGGGG